CTGCCGCCAATTGCAAAGACATCTGGCACGCGGCCGAACCGACCGAAGCATTTTTAAAGACAGAGTTGTCAGGACACGCCTCATCATGTTGATACAGTGCGCGCTGCAGGTTGGGCGTTCAATCATGGATTGCGACGACTGCCCACTGCCCCGCATATCCTCAGCAGCGGCCTCATGGTTGTTTAAGACGAAGGAGGCGATCGTGTGCTCTTTGGATTCAGAGGTCAGGTTTGGAAGAAGCCGCGCCGCACACCATTCGTTGCCATGGTAGAGCGCGCGCGCATGTGTCTGCCTTTTTGTAGACTTCGCGGCGCTGCAGCGGCATCCGTGCGAAAACTGCATCGCCCAATGGGTTTGTCTTTTGCAGACAGATCTGAGCAGGTATGAGCTTCGCGTGTTGCGCGACGACATGGGGGATTCCTGTCTAAATCATGGGGTCGAGTGGGTTCCGAATCAATGTTATGTTTTTCGTATTGGGCTGACCGCTGGGGTAATTCTAGATGCTTCGGGCAGCCCTATTAGCCTATCCAGAGGCGATGCCCAGACGAGTTGCCTTGGCCAGGGGTGCGAGAGAGCGCGCAGGGCCGGGCGCGACGTCGCACCCGTAGAGGGGGATACTGGAGGCGGAATTGGAAGAGGAGGAGGGGGGGCCCGACGGGGGGCAAGAACAGGCACATGGGGAGGGGGAAGGAAGAGGTCGGTAGGAGTCGGGAGTTTCTTGGAGACCTTGGGGCGTCTCGGGCTGCTCGGCGGCCTCTGGGGCATTTCGGAGCGTCTTGGGTGCTTCGGGGGGCATCTAGGAGGTTTCGTGGGAACCTTTAGGGGGCCTCTCGTGGCCCCCTGGGCGCTCGGGGACCTCGGGGGCCACCGTGGGGCCATCTTGGAAGGGTTCGCGCAGTGGGCCCGAGACCTTGGTGGGGCCAGTGAGTCTGGGCTTCTCGCCAAGGCCGTTTTGGGCGCCCCCGTCTGGTCGCGCCCCCCCCCCTCCCCGCCCAGGTCGGGGAGGGGGTGGATCTTTCGCCGTGGTGAAGCATGATTGGAAGCGCGCTAAACCATTCGCGTCGTGACGGGCTGGCGGGGCATCGATGTCTCGTGTGCCGAGATTATTTCGGGTAATACAGTCGGCGGTGCAGGGCCCGTCCGAGTAGATCGGTCGCGGCGGTCGCGCCGCGACGCTTGCGTGCGACATTGCGAACGGGGTCCTCGAGTTTGGATCGGACGGCCGTTTCGGGGATTGCAGGCAGGAGGTCTCCGACCTAAGAAGTGGCGTCTTCTGAGTGCGCTGGGGGGAAGTCAAGGGGGGGGTGCTGGGGGGGGGTCGAAAGCCTCGCCCCTGGCCCTCCGACCCCGCCGGCCCTCGCCCTTCGGCCCCAGCGACCCGCTACGTCGACGAGGCCCGGGACGCCACGGCGACGACGGCGACGGCGCGCCCCGCCCGCTTGCCCGGCCGATTCGCCCACGACGACGTCGACGACGCGCCCCGCCCGCCCGCCCATGGCATCGACGACGAAGACAGGCGCCCCGCGCCGGCAAGCGGCGGCGCCAACGGCTGCGACGACGCGCCCCGCCCGCCCGCGCTACCAGCTGCGATGGCCACGCGTCTTGCCGACCCGCCCGACCGACCGAGTCGTCGGCGGTGGGCGACGATCGCGACGGCGACGACATGTCCCGCCCGCCCGCCCGACCGACTCGCCCACGAGGACGTCGACGTCTCGTCCTGCCCGCCCGCCCGACCGACGCGCTCGCCGTCGAGCGACAATGACGACGCGGCGAGGGGGAAATGAACCCTCGCCCCCCCGACTTGGGGGCGGCAGGCGGGCCCGCCCCCTGACTCCCGGAAGGGGGGCCCTTGGGGCTCGTGCCAGCAAGGGGTGGTGGCGGGGTGCTGTCCCGGACGGGGGGAAGGGAGGCGCCGTTCCGGATGGGGAGGGGGGCTTCGACGCGGCGACGTTTTCGACCGCGGCGCGCAGTCGAGCGATGCCGCTCGTGGCGTCGACCAGGCGGATTACGCGGAGCGTTCGGTGGCGCCGACTCGCGTCGCGCGCGCCGCGGCAGTCTGGCGGGGGTAGCGGGGCGCGCGCGGCGTGGCGTGGCGCGGCGCGCGGGCGCGCAGCTGGCGGCGACGCCTTCGCCGCGCGCGCCAAGGGGCCGGGAAAAAAAACAAATCTGCGAAACCTGGGCGTTGTTCTTTTTCTTTTCCCCAACCATCCTGTGGTGTTGGGTCCTCGTTTTGAAGAGACAGCGCCCCGCGTCTCCTCGTTTGAAGAGACAGCGCCCCGCGTCTCCTCTCCTCTCCTCTCCTCTCCTCTCCCTCTCCTATCCTCTCTCTCCTCTCCTCTCCTCTCCTCTCCTCTCCTCTCCTCTCCTCTCCTCTCCTCTCCTCTCCTCTCCTCTCCTCTCCTCTCCTCTCCTCCTCCTCCTCTCCCCCTCCTCCCTCCTCCCATCGCCGTCATCATACTCATCGTCATCGTCATCATCATCCTCATCTTCATCATCATCATCATCATCATCATCATCAACATCATCATCCTCGTCATCATCACTACCAGCATCATCATCGTCATCATCATCGCCGTCGCCATTAGTTCCCAACCATCCTGTCATCATCACCACCAGCATCATCATCGTCATCACCACCAGCACATCATCATCATCGCCATCGCCATTAGTTCCCATTTCCGCACACCCATCACACGTTTCGTGGCCCCATAGGGAGCTCCACCGAAGGCCCCAGTGGCAGGGTTCGCATGCCGCCCCCACCCCACTTTGGCACACCCCTCACACGTTTCGTGGCCCCATAGGTAGCTCCACCGAAGGCCCCAGTGGCAGGGTTCGCATGCCGCCCCCACCCCACTTTGGCACACCCCTCACACGTTTCGTGGCCCCATAGGAGCTCCACCGAAGGCCCCAGTGGCAGGGTTCGCATGCCGCCCCCACCTCACTTTGGCACACCCCTCACAGACTTTCGTGGCCCCACAGGGAGCTCCACCGACGCCCCAGTGGCAGGTTTCGAACCCTGCCACGGGGTGCCTTCAGTGAGCACCCTATGGGGCCACGAAATGCGTGAGGGCGTGCCAAAGTGGGGTGGGGGCGGCATGCGAACCCTGCCACTGGGGCCGTCGGTGGAGCTCCCTATGGGGCCACGAAACGTGTGAGGGGTGTGCCAAAGTGAGATGGGGGCGGCATGCGAACCCTGCCACTGGGGCCTTCGGTGGAGCTCCCTATGAGGCCACGAAACGTGTGAGGGGTGTGCCAAAGTGGGGCGGGGGCTGCATGCGAACCCTGCCACTGGGGCCTTCGGTGGAGCTACCTATGGGGCCACGAAACGCGCGAGGGGTGTGCCAAAGTGAGGTGGGGGCGGCATGCGAACCCTGCCACTGGGGCCGTCGGTGGAGCTACCTATGGGGCCACGAAATGCGTGAGGGGTGTGCCAAAGTGGGGTGGGGGCGGCATGCGCATTGCCGCCCCCGCCCACTTTTGCACACCCCTCACACGTTTCGTGGCCCCATTGGGAGTTCCACCGACGGCCCCAGTGGCAGGGTTCGCATGCGTCCGCGCCACCCATGTCGACGCACCCTTGACACGTTTCGTGGCCCCATCATGAGCTCCACCGAAGGCCCCAGTGGCAGAGTTGGCATGCCGCCCCTCGCCCATTTCGGCCCACCCCTCACACGTTTCGTGGCCCCATAGGGAGCTCCACCGAAGGGGCCCCAGTGGTTGCGTTCGCATGCGTCCCAGCATATTCTTCGGAGCTGCGGCCAGCCCTCCCCCCGAGCCCCCAGGCGCTCTGCCAGAGACACCTGCCAGAGACACCTGCCGCTCTGTCAAAGACACCCGCCGGCGCGACAAGACCCAGACAGCGTGCAAGGACACGCATTGGCGAAGATAACCGCGCTTTGTCGTCGCCGTCTCTGTCGTGATCTCTCTTGCTCTGTCTGTGGCCGGCCCATTAACTCTATTAGTTTATATTCACCTTGCAATGGCCCCCAAGAGAGCTCGTCCCTAAAGGCGCTCTGCCAGAGACACCTGCCAGAGACACCTGCCGCTCTGTCAAAGACACCCGCCGGCGCGACCTTCTCTCGGTCCGCAGCCGGACCTTCTCTCGGTCCTGTGGACTCTCGCCCTGGGCCGTCGACTGTCCGGCGCACTGCTCCCCCGGCCGACGCCGCCCAGGCGTGATCCTGGACTGCGGCCGCCACGAGGTCGGGAACGGCAAGAAGGACGACGACGACTGGTGGATGGAGCTCTACGTGCTGCTCTCGCGCGCCACGCGCCACGGGGACCTCTTGCTCATGCGGGCGCCGCGTATCGAGTTCTTCCTGGCAGGGCCGCCGGCGGGCTTGCGGAAGCAGCTGGAGCAGTTTGCGACGCGCACGAAGCGGTGCAGGAGGGAGGCGACGGCCCTCGCCAAGGAGTTCACCGAGTTTATCCGCGAGGCCTGACCTGGGCGGCCCCGCGCGAGCCAGCGGCGCGCGCTGGCTGTCGCTGACGCTTGGATGACCCCAGCTCGTCGTCGGGATTTCTCGCCAGAGGATGACCGGCGTCTGTCGGGGGATTTCAGCCAGATCGCGCCCTCTTCGCGTCGCTTTACCGCGCAGTACGGCAGCGCATCTGTTTGCTCTGACAAGCAGTGGACGACCCCCGCGCGTCGATGGGACTCCTTCGGGATGACCAGACCGCGTCGGCGGGGGCTCCCCAGCCACCCCCGCGCGGCGCCGCCTGCGCGGTGCACTCTGCGTGGCTCGCTATCGCCCCGGAGGCAAACATGTCACCCCTCGTCTCTCGCTTGTCCTGCTTCCCTTCGCTGCTTGACCGCGCGCGCCCCAGTCTCGTTTCTGCCGCTGCTGGGCTGCCCCTGACATTCGCGCGGCTTCTCCGTGACATTTTTCCTGCGTGCCCAGTAACAGGTCTCACGAAGCCGCTCAGGCTCGACCCTGTCAAAGGCGGTCAGTAGGCCCCCCACCTCGGGCGTAGCGGTTGCTACGGAGCTTGCTGCCAGGATGGCCGCTGCCGCGCATTGGAAGCGCATGTCGTTCCTGATCAATGACGGGGCAGCCTTCCTGTTTTCGGCAGTTGACCACTCCGCCAAGGTGGTGAGGCCGCCGCCATCTTGCGCTGCATTCGTGCGGGTTGCTGTGGGAGAGCAACATGTCGCACTACTCAGCGCCGATGGAGAGGTGCACATCTACTCCGTCACCCTGGCGATATCTGGAAAGGATGTCGTACAGCTACTCGGCGTCGTTCGCGACGACTACCTCCACTTCACGCAGATCGCTGCCGGGGCGCACTTCACGGTGATGTTGCGATGCGACGGCGTGATCTTCGTATGCTAGGACGAGCGCCTCAGCCCCCTTAATATCAGCGAGGGAGCGGTGGACTTCCTAATCGCGGCCTGGGGCAATGCAATCGGGATCCTTAGCGACGGCATCTTGCAGATCATCCATCCGCAGGGCGAGGAGATCTGCGAGTGGGAGGTCCATCGGACCATCGTGCAAATCAGCATGTCAAATCACGTGGTCTTACTGGGTGACGACGGTACTGCCCACGCTTTGGGCAGGAACGACGCGGGCCAGTGCGACCTACCCGATCTCGAGGATAACGTGAAGTTCACGGAGGTCGCAGCCGGGTGGAAGCACTCGGTGCTGCTGCGCAGCGATGGGACTGCAGCAGCTTGCGGCAGCAATGACTGGGGGCAGTGCAACATCCCACCTCTGAGTGAGGGCGTCACCTACACGCATGTCGCGGCCGGGGCGAAGTATGCCATATGCAACGCAAGTGACGGGAACATTGTGGTTTGTGGATTGTCCGCGAACAACCAGGACATCGCATTTCGTGCCCCGGGCCCGGGCACCGCCTTCGCTGCTGCGGCGCCGCCCTCGATGCTGCTGCAGGCGACGCTGGCGGACCTCGCAATGATATTCCGGACAGTGAGCGGCGAGGAGTGCTGGAGGACCTCAGTCTCATCCGAAACTACACTGAAGACGATTTGGCGTGATCTGAAACCGGCTTGGAAAGAGGGCCAGTTCGGGCGCGGTGCTGGGAGAGTCGACGCAGTCCTGCCGGGGGGCCGGCTGCTCACATGCGCCTGCGCGAAGGGCGACACCGTCTCGAGCGTTTTCGGCGCTCCAGAAATGGTCGCCGACCAGGTTCGCGACGCGCGCGAACCAGCGCAAGGGAAGGCGAGGTAACTGTCAAAGGGAGCTGGGCTCCAGCGAGTTCATCCGCGAGGCCTGATCTGAGGGGCCGCCGTGGCGGCTGGCGCCCTGGCTGTCGCAGACGCTTGGATGACCCCAGCTCGTCGTCGGAATTTCTCGCCAGAGGGTGACCGGCGTCTGTCGGGGAGATTCCACCCAGATCGTGCCCTTTTCGCATCGCCTCGCCGCGCAGTGCGGGGGCGCCGTGCGTTTACTCTGAGTCGCAGTGGACGACCCCCGCGCGTCGATGGGACTCCCTCGGGATGGCCAGACCGCGTCGGCGGGGGCTCCCCGCCCACTTTCGCGCGGCGCCGCCTGCGCGGTGCACTCTGCGTGGCTCGCCATCGGCTCGGAGGCAAACATGTCACCCCTCGTCTGTCGCTCGCTCTGCTGCCTTCGCTTCGTTTCTGCCCCGCTTGCCTCTGACGTCTACGCAGTGTCTCCGTAACTTTTCCTGCGTGTTCCGTAACAGGTCTCAAGATGCGCTGATGCCGATGCGGTGGCTCGCCCCGCTTAGCCCTCCTCCTCCGCCAGCCACTTCCTGCCCGCGCTGCCCTGTGCCTCGTCCATGCAGTGGCGCGGTGCCTGTGAGAAGATGGGGCATGCCTTGCGCTACTCGTAGCTTGCGCGCCCCCCCTCCCTCATCTCATACCCTGCGCGGTACTCGCAGCTGCATATGGTTGGGTCCTTCGCCAGGCTAATTTTCCCAACCATCCTGTGGTGTTGGGTCTTCGTTTTGAAGAGACGGTCCCCGCGTTCCTTTCTTCCTCTCCTCTCCTCCTCCTCCTCCTCCTCCTCCTCCTCCTCCTCCTCCTCCTCCTCCTCCTCCTCCTCCTCCTCCTCCCCCCCCCCCCTCCTCCCCTCCCTCCTCCTCATTCCATGCGTTTCACCCACCCAGCGCAACGTTTCGCGGCGCCATAGGGGGCCCGCCCGCGTGCGCCCCCCGCGCCTAATTCGGCATTTTCACCCACCCAGTACAGCGTTTCGCGGCCCCATAGGGAGCTCCACCGAAGCCCCCAGTGGGACCGCCCGCATGCGCCCCCCCCACGCCCAATTTAGCATTTTCGCCCACCCAGTACTGCGCTTCGTGACCCCACAGGGAGCTCCACCGAAGTCCCCAGTGGGACCGCCCACATGCGCCCCCCACATCCCATGTGGCATTTTCATTCAGCCAGTAAGCGGTTCGTTGTTCAATCGGGAGCCCCGCCGAAGCCCCCAGTGGGACCGCCCGCATGCGTTCCCCACGCGCAATTTTGCATTTCCACCCACCCAGCACAGCGCTCCGTGACCCCATAAGGAGCCCCCCCGAAGCCCCCAGTGGGACCGCCCGCATGCGCCCCCCACACCCAATGTAGTATTTTCACCCACCCGGCGCAGCGCTTCGTGACCCCATAGGGAGCTCCACCGAAGCCCCCAGCCCAGTGGGACCGCCCGCGTGCGTCCCCAACGCCGAATTTGGCATTTTCGCCCGCCCAGCACAGCGCTCCGTGGCCCCATAGGGAGCTCCTCCGAAGCCCACAGTGGGACCGCCCGCATGCGTCCCCCACGCCCAACTTGGCATTGTCACCCACCCAGCACAGCGCTTCGTGGCCCCATAGGGCCCCCCAGTGGGGCCGCCCGCATGCGTCCCCCGCACCCGATTTGGCATTGTCACCCATCCAGCACAGCGCTCCGTGGCCCCGTAGGGAGCTCCACCGAAGCCTCCACATGGGGCCGCCCGCGTGCTCCCCCCATGCCCAAATTGGCATTTTTGCCAGCCCAGTACAGCGCTTCGTGGCCCCATAGGGAGCTCCACCGAAGCCCCCGGTGGGACCGCCCGCATGCGCCCCCCGCAGGGGGCTCCACCGAAGCCTCCAGTGGAACCGCCCGCATGCGTCCCCCACGCCCAATTTGGCATTTTCGCCGGCCCAGTACAGCGCTTCGTGGCCCCATAGGGAGCCCCGCCGAAGCCCCCAGTGGGGCCGCCCGCGTGCGCCCCCCACACGCAATTTGGTATTTTCACCCACCCTTCACAACGCTTCGTGGCCCCATGGGGAGCTCCGCCGAAGCCTCCAATGGGGCCGCCCGCGTGCGTCCCACGCGTCCAATTTGGTATTCTCACCCACCCAGTGCAGCGTTTCGTGGCCTCACAGGGAGCTTCGCCGACGGCTCCAGGGCCACCGCCCGCATGCGCTCCCCCCCCCCCCCCGCCCAGCGCGCCGCTTCGTGGCCCCATGTGGGCTTCGCCGAAGAAGATTTCGGTATCCACAGTTTCACATGGTTGGGTCCTTCGCCGGAAATTTTGTTCCCAACCGTCCCGTGGTGTTGGGTCGTCGTTTTGAAGAGACGGCGCCCCGCGTCCCTCCTCCTTCCCCCTCCCCTCCTCCCTCCTCCCTCCCCCATCATCCTTCTCCCCCTCCTTCCATCGCCGCCGTCATCATCATCATCATCATCATCACCATCATCATCATCGCCCTCATATCCATCATCATCATCGCCATCATCATCATCATCACCATGACCAGCACCACCATCATCATCATCAGCATCGTCGTCGTCGTCGCCGTCGTCGTCGTCATCGTCATCGTCATCATCATCATCATCATCATCGTCATCATCGTCATCAGCGCCATCATCACACAGCTTCGTGGCCCCGCAGGGAGCTCCACCGAAGGCTCCAGTGTGAGGGGGGGTCGCATGCGTCTCCCCCGCCCAGGACAGCGTTTCGTGGCCCCGTAGGGAGCTCCACCGAAGGCCCGAGTCGGGGGGGGTCGCATGCGTCTCCCCCGCCCAGGACAGCCAGCGTTTCGTGGCCCCATAGGGAGTTCCACCGAAGGCCCTAGTGGAGGGGGGGGTCGCATGCGTCTCCCCCGCCCAGGACAGCGTTTCGTGGCCCCATAGGGAGCTCCGCCGACCGTCCCAGTGGGGGGGAGTCGCATGCGTCTCCCCCACCTAGGACAGCGTTTTGCGGCCCTATGGGAGATCCACCGAAGGTCCCATTGGGGAGAGGAGGGGGGGGGGGGGGGGGGGCGCATGCGTCTCCCCCACCCAGGACAGCGTTTCGTGGCCTCACAGGGAGCTCCACCGAAGGCCTCAGTGGGGGGGGGGGGGTCGCATGCGCCCCCTCGCCCAGGACAGCGCTTCGTGGGCCCCATCGTGGCCCTGTGGGAGCTCCACCGAAGGTCGCATTGGAGGGCGTGGGGGGGTGGGCTGGGGGTGGGGGGTGGGGGGGGTGGCATGCGTCTCCCCCGCCCAGGACAACGTTTCGTGGCCCCATAGGGAGCACCACCGAAGGCCCCAGCGGGGGAGGGCTCGCGTGCGTCTGCCCCACCCAGGACAGCGCTTCGTGGCCCCATGGGGAGCTCCACCGAAGGCCCCAGTGTGGGGGGGGGGGTCGCATGCGTCTCCCCCACCTAGGACAGCGCTTCGTGGCCCCGTAGGGAGCTCCACCGAAGGCCCCAGTGGGGGGGGGGGTCGCATGCGTCTCCCCCGCCCAGGACAGCGCTTCGTGGCCCCATAGGGAGCTCCACCGAAGGTCCCCGTGGCGCAGTCCGCATTGTGTTGTTCGTTTTCGCTGCCGTTGTGTACCGCGCCATTCATATCGGCGCCCCCCGGGCGCGGTTCGTTGCCTCGTAGGGGCCGCCGCCGAAAATGTGAATCGCAATTGCGGCATTCACACCTTCGTCAGTTTTTTTTTCCTTGGGGGGGGGGGGGGCGCTTGGAGGCGCGAGTGTCCGGCGGGGCCGGCGGCGATTCAGGGGCCGTCCGCGCGGGTCAGTTTGGATTGGGGCGGGGCCTCGAATCGAGATCGCCCGCAGGCGCGGGCAGACTTCGCCAGCTTGACATCTATGCCCTTTCAAAATGCCGACGGCTGGCGCGCGGGGCACTTCGGGCAGCCTCCAGGAGATTCGCCCGCGCGCGATTCGAGCGCGCGCGGTCGAGGGCGCCCGAGACGACTGAGCGGCGCGGCCCTTTCCGGTGCCTCTTCGACGCGATGGCGCCAAGTGCGCGGGGCTTGGGGCGTCGCGTCGCAGGCTCCTCGGCAGGGGCTGCGCGCGCATTGGGGCGCGCCGCAGCACGCGGAGCGAGAAGCGCTACGCATCAGGAATTCTGTGAGAATGCGCTCGACGCATTCTGACAGCCGAGACGCATAGGGGCGCGGTGCGATCGCAGCCGCAGCGGCCGTCTGCCCGCCTGCCGCTCGGAGTGGGTCGACGACGCCCGCTGAGAATGTGCGCAGTGCGGCAGATGGTGGGCGCTGCCGATCTCTGCGCGGAGCGGGGAGCTTGCCTGCCAGAACGGCTGCATAGTGAGTGTGTCAGCCAGAGGAACGCCGCCAATCGGCGCGCGTTTGTGTGGCGCCGCGAGAGGGGGGCGGGGTGCTCGAGCGAGCGCGACAAAGGTTGCGGGTGGGTCCATGCGCGAGGCAATGGCGCGCCGACTTCCAAGCGCATCAATAGACCAAGTCCATCGAAGTCCGCCGCGCAGTCGCGGGCTATGCTTGTTTGGCGGCGCTTGGCGATGCGAGGTGGTTTCGCGGCGGACCGAGGTCGCCGAGCTTCGAGCGATCTTCTGACGCATATGTGGCGTCTTGCTTGTGGATAATCGGCAATGGCAGCGAGGGCGCCCCGGGCCTCTCCAGGGCGGCGTGCTCTCGCGGCCGCGGACGCGCACGCTGATCGGTGCCGCGCTTTGAGGCCGACTTTCCCCGCGAAGCTATTGACGGACCCGCGCGCGCGCCGCGACATCCTGGGGCGAACGGTCGCAGTGGCATCTGCTGCAAGTTGCCCCGCCCGCGCCGGAGGGCGCTCCGCGCGTCGAG